GTTTCTCCAGTGATTGCGTTTTCCACAGTTATCACATGTTGTGTTGTAGGCGGGGCATAACTCACGAGGTCTGAAGGGGTGTTGCCTACCACAGTTCCTACATGTGCGTCGGCGCTGTAATGCATTAATGGAAGACTGACCATGATGAACATTGATTAGCTGTTCCATGTGTGACAAGGATGCCTCGTGGGTACGAGCAATATCCAAACACTGATCAATGGTCAAGGTGTCATCGCGAGCCAAGAGTTGCTTTTGCAGATCTGGGTGACGCGTTCCCGCAATGAACTGTTCGACGATTCTGTCTGCGAATTCCTTGTCGTCACGAAATTGACATGTTTGGGCATGTAGCTTTAGCCGTGACGAGTAGTCGTCAACAGATCCTTCTGCTGAAATTTCTTTCAGTACAGGCGATCAACACGGAAATTTGTTCTCGGAGTGATCTGGGCAGAGAAGCGATCCCAAACAATGTCAGGCTGTTTCGCATCATCCTCAGGTAAGCTCCATGAGTTATACATGCGAAGTCCAGTAGGCCTCTCTGGTTTGACATTCTTGAGAGAGAAATATAGCTCACATTGTTGCCGAAAAATCTGTATGGCACTGGGCAAATCTGGGTCATCCCAGGTCATGCGAGGTGTGACTGAGTCTGTCATTGTTCCTACTTGTAAGTTGAGATGACCTCTGACCTCAATAGACTATGCGAGTATCAGTACATGCTGCACGTGACGATCCTAAGCTATACACACAGGCGTCAAGAGGCTACTGTACACACAGTCTATGCATACATGCGTACATGGATTGTCACTCAGTCATTTTCACAGAAACGACGGCACATTTCCGAGTCAATCTCACCTTGTTTTAGGCGATGATGTGAATATCGGTAGTGCAAATGGCGAGGTAGGACCGCGCTGCCACCATGTTATGTGTGGAGGGTTATTATGGAGCCAGGACGACCTGCATTTAGGTGACAACTTCAGCTACTCTTTTATTTCCAACGTGAGCTCTGAGACCTATCCGAAAGGAGTGACTGACTAGCGCCCTCTATGGTCTGGTATATTACAGTATTGATCGTTACAAATGTACCTCATGTGTTCAGTTTGTGTTCCCGTTGTTTCTTCTGTTTGTGTGCCAGCATCTTTGGGGTTGGCGATTTGCATGAGAGGAGTCGACTCTATCTATTTATGGCGTACTATTTAAGACACACATTTCTCTCTCTCATTAGCCTCCCTCTAGGCGACGCAACCAGCGTCGTGTCGCGCCGTCGCCCGTTGCATCGTGCTGTCTTAGGTCCTTTCCTTGTTGCATTTTTTTCTGCCTAAACGTCACCCCTTCCGTCGCCTGTCGCGTCGTACGTCATGTCTTGCATCGTGTCGCCTGAAGCACGACGCGACGCACGACACGACGCGCGACGCGTCGTGTGGTGTCGCCCTTAGCTTCATAGTATGGTGTACAATATCATGGTGTTTATAGAGGGCGCCTTTACTGTTTTCTTTCATTTCAGCCCACCTTTCTTGCAAAGTACGTGTACATGCAATTCGCTCTTTGGTGTTGATTTTTATTGTTTTTATCTCATCGATTCATTAATTGGGATTAATTTCTGTCACATGTTATTGAAAAAAATGATAAAAGAGCAAAAAAAATCCGAATATGTAGGAACTGCTCTCAAAAAAAGTGGAAACCGCAAGCTCAGAATTGGTCACTCCTTAAATTTCCAGCAATGATTTTTTGTTTTCTCTCATTTCCATCCATCGCGCTTCCAAAATACATGCCCTTAGCTGCAGACGTTGATTTTTTTTGGGGGGGGGGTTATTTCAGCCATTCATCAAATTGAATTAGTTTTTGTCATATTTGATCGAAAAAAAATATGAAAACGAGCAAAAGGAAAATCCGCGTATGTAGGTGCTCTCACATAATTAGTGTAAGCCAAGAATTCGTCACTTTTTAATTTACCTTGCTGATCCTTGTTCGAATGTCCGCACAATTTCTTTTCAAGACCGTTGATAAGGTTTCCATTTGTGGTAGATTTGTAACCTTATAAAGAATTCTCTGTGATCTATGCTGGCAAATTTCCAAGTAGTTCTGACACTCCTCCAGACAATTTATCTACAATTGTACCACTGCAAGTTTGACCACGGGCTTAGGTAGTTACCACCCAGCCTGCCCTATATTATTACTCTCAGAATATTCAGTCTTCAGTCTTCCTTCAGTTTACTCTTCCTCGTTAACTTCATCAGCAACACACTTTCAATGATATTAGTCCGCTGGCGTGTTTCTTAATGAAACACTGCAGATCCTACTACCATTGTGACGGTGTCTTTTCTTCCTCTCTGTTTGGCCTCACGCTTAATTTCTCATCAGATTCACATGTTACATTTTTGCAATCACATAATAATGATTGATGTATCTTAGAATGATCAGGACAAGCTAAACGTTGTGGCTGACGTTAATGTTATATATTTCCTGAACACAATGTTCGCAAAGCACTTTTTGATTACATTTGATTTAAAAAAGGAAAAGAGTTTTCTTCAACAAATCACTCTTAATGAAAACGCAAAGTTAAAAAGAACCCACGAAAAAGAACAACAGAATCAAAGACTGGCACCTATGGCATGTACTGTACAAGCACGGGCCGGGGGAAATGAAAGAAACAGTTAAAGAACCCTCTATAAACACCGTGAAGCAAAGGGCGACAGCACACGACGCGTAGCGTTGTGTCGTGTCGTGCGTCGCGTCGCGCTTCAGGCGACGTAAAAGGCGACGCGATGCACGACACGACGTACGACGCGACGCACGACGGTACGACGCGACGGGCGACGGAAGGGCGACGTTTAGGCAGAAAGAAATTGCAACAAGGAAAGGACCCAAGACAGCACGACGCGACGGGCGACGGCACGACGCAACACACGACACGACGCGTCGTGTGTGTACAAAAGTAATGGCAAGAAGACGACGGTGCGACCCGACGGCACGACGCAAGGGAGCCGTCGTGCCGTCGCGTCGTGTAGTTGCGTCGCCTGGAGGGAAGCTAAAGAGAGAGAGAAATGTTTGTCGTAAATAGTACACCATACTATGGAATTCCATATCTGCCGTCGTCCGTTGTGCCGCGCCCGTCGTGCCTCGTTCGTCGTGCGTCGTCCGTCCTGGGTCGTCCGTCGTGCGTCGCCCGTCGTGCGTCGCCCCGTCGTGCGTCGCCCGTGGTTTTTGTTTTTTACCCTTGATGTATTCGTTTTGCAGTTGCGCGAACTCCACTTGAAAGAAGAAATAATATCCTGATATGGGTAAAGTGACGTTTATATGAAAAAATACCATTTTTGTTACAAAAATGAACTAACAAAACAGACTTTTGTAAGGGCAGATTGTTTTTCTCGATAACTTAGTTACTCTAGACGTAACTTTACTCGTTAACACCTGGACTTTATCTATAGCTTTTGTGATATTTCTGTCTGTCCCTGCACGACATCCCACAGAACGGAATGTAAATAATAAATTATTTACACTTTTGATTCCTTAATAGTTTTCATAAGAGACGAACTGATTCAACATTATTTTGAGGGTGGGTATACCTATGATGAAATCTGCTGTATACTCCAAATTAGACATGACTTGAGTTGCAGGTAGGCTCATAGAAGTCTTTTAAACGGTCTTTTAAACACAAAAACCAACACGTCACATTTTCTGAAACTTAAACCAAGTGGTAATTGCCCCCTAACAATACATTTAATAAACAATTTGTTATTCAAGCACTGTCTAGTATTTCTGTATTTCAAATTGAAATTTAGAGGACAAAATGGAATACCAGTATCAGTTGGCAGATTTCTTTCTAGAATTTGATGAAAACAGGTCGGCACATTTTGACAGTATGCAAATTAGAATTAGACTGTGGATAAGTTGGCCTGAACATTTTTGCTGAAAATGTTTTTTCCCTGAAAAAAACACTTGGTTGAATTCTCAAAAAGGCGACATTTTCTTGTCAAGGGGCAGGGGTAGTCTAGCATTATTGGCATTAATTATGGGACGAAAAGAACTCATATCTCAGTTGTATCTTGGGAGGCAGATTTGGGGTAGTAAAAGTCAGGCAGATGGAAAGACTTTTTTCTGCTTTTCCGTCACGTTTGCACATGAGTCTTTTAGTTCTGACAACTCCTTGTTTTTTGCCTGTAACGGTTATTTCTTCATCTATTATATCTGCTGGGATGCCTGTTATGACCCCTTTGCTTTGTGTTTCTGATTTGGCATACTCTGTTTGTACAACCCATTGATCTAGGTGTGTTAGAGTTTTTAATTTTCTTGCTTGTGCTAAGGTGGGACATTAAACAGTAATCCCCCTTGGTTGTTTTCTGACACACTTTTAATGTAGTCTTTACCTACTTTATTAAGTGCTTTAACTTGGCGTATTGGATTGACTTTAGATACTTTGATGTAGATGTGCCGCAACCAGCGGAGGAGTACCAGGCAGATGCAGGGGCATGACGTATTCCAGCTATGGGGCAAGCATGGAGGAAGGACACAAGAGTTACAACTCTGGCACATAAAAGTGCTCGGTGATCATCGTCGCCCGGTCATGTAAAATTATGTAAACGAATTTAGTCATAGGCACTGTTGCAGCAGTGCCGAGTTTTCACGGCCATCTCGTGAGGGCGCGCTTCATAAAAAGGCCACGCTTAGCGCTAGCGCCTCGGTGTATACAAGTTAACAGAATTCAGAACAGGGTTTCAAATCAGCAATCATCATACATCCTAGGGGGTTCAGAAGTATTCAGTTGGGTAAGTTATCATTTGAAATCTTTATTCAGTCAAGGCCATTTTCAAGCAAATAATGGAGCCGTTTATATGGGTTATTTATCTGAAATTTACTATGGGTTATTACGC